TTATACCAGATCTACCATAACCCAGACGCTCCATGGGACTGCCATAGATGCCAATCAGTTGGGGTGGCTTGTGGGGTCCATGTATTTTGGATTCTGCCGTAAAAGGAACGATATTGGTGATGGCTCAACGGAGCCCCGGCAAGGCCAACCCACCCACAGCGATTTACTCCTCAATTCCGCCTCAAAATCACCAGAAGTGGATTGGTGCAAGGAGAAGTCGAAAGGTATTGCCAGGTAGCCACTAATTCAAACAATCTTGGACTCTGGGCCCCCCCTGGGCCGTTTTTGTTCGGCCGTTTTCGTTCTCCTGGTTCGGAGGGGCAGAGCTGCGGCCGAACATCTTCCGTCAACCCCAGCTCTCCCATCAGCCCATCCAAAAGACAACTGGTCACAGGGTCCTCGCTTCACTGGATGTCGCCGGATTTCGCCAGCGAAGACAGGTCATGGTGTCCTTCTTTTTTTCCTACACTTGGAAGAAACATGGGTTGCTAACGCACCTGTTATATTAACGATCAAAAAAAAGCTGCTTGCTTGGTAGATCATGGGGCATTCTTCACAGACGTCAAGAGAAGGCGATGAGTTTGTAGCTTGCTTCACGACTTGTGGTGATTGCAAGTACTCTACCCCAAAACTCGAAAGAAGTTGTTTCATATATGCTTCCCCTGGATTCGCCGCAAACTAAAGCCAACAAACACCTGGCCAGATGGTGCTGTCGGCTGCTTCTTTTTGGAACATCCATCTTTTTTGGGGCAGTTCACCCGTTTTTTCCGAGAAGCCACCTCCCAAGCTGACCTCCATCGATCCGTTCAGGGCGAGCGCGCGGAGTGCACCCGTGCGCTTCCGGGGCTCTGCTGTGCGGGACGGGCGCCACGACTTCGAGGCGGGCGAGGTGCGCCTGGCGCGCGTCCGCGTGGGCGGTGCGGGCGGAGTGGTGGGGAGGTGCAGGTGGGTGGACATTGGAGGCCACTTTTTTAGGTAGAAGATGTGATCTAAGGGGGCAAGCTAGTGTGGTGTGTGATCTATGGGGCATCTGGTGGGATAAGGTATGGAATCTGGAATAATCCGGGCGCCGGGCCAACGGGCCGGGTGTCCTTCCCGGACCTTCGGTGGTTACCGAAGGTAACGGGCACGCCTGCCGCCGACCCACCCGGGGGAAACTCGTGGTCTCAACTGATCCCCCTATAATTTACAGTGTATTCTGCGTGCGGTGTTCAAACACATTGTGTTTTACAGGCTTTTCGGGCTCTTCGGCCGCTATAGATGTCATTTTGGCGATGTTAAAAACCTCAGTTTTTATGTGGTTTGGGCCTCGGAGAGGGGGTCCGGGACGAACAAATCGCATCTTGAAGAGTGTGTTAGCATAAGTGGTGCAAAATACCTCCAACATAGCTCCAACATAGGCCCAACATAGCCCCAAGATGAGCCAACATAGCCCCAAGATGGGCATAGGCCCAAGACGAGCTCAACATGGGTCCAAGATAGGCCAACATAGGCCCAAGATAGACTCAACCTGGGCCCAAGATGGCACAACACAGGCCCTAGCTGGGCCAACATAAGCCCAAGGTGGGCCAACATAGGCCCTAGATGGCCCAACATAGACCCAAAAATGGGCTCAACATTGCCGCAAGACCGCCCACATAGCCCAAAGATGGGTTCGACCTGGCCCCAACACCACAACCACAACCAGAACCACCGCAACAAAAAGAACCGCCACCACCACAACAACAACAATAACAATAATAATCCCTCCTATACATATATGTCTATATGTGTACGTGTGAGCTGCGAGCTTGATATCCGTCCCCCTACTCCCCCCATGTCCTTCCTCCCTCTCCTGTGTCGGCCGGCGCCCGGCGTACCAAAGAACAGGCATCCAGTCCTTGAGACAGACAAGAAATCGAGGATCTTGTGCGTTCTTGTGGATGCTTTCAAGCCGCAAAGTGTGACCAAAGCCAAGCGCACGGCGCCCTACATCGTTGGTGATGGCAGATTTGGCAAGCATGAGAACGAGCGAGAGTTCTTTGTTGCAACCATCATCGCTGAAAGCGGCAGAAAGAAGTATGGCGTCTCAATCCATCTAAACCTCTCAAGCCCACGCGTGGTGAACCTGTGGTTGACTGCAGCACAATAGCGCAGTGTGACCTACCGATGTGCATACGCTTCCATGCCAAACGGGATCTGGCATTGTGAGAACTATGCGAAGTCATCAAAGAACGATCTTGAGTCTTTTTGCCTTTGCCTTAATTTCCAGCAGCTTGCAGTTTTTCTTCACTGCGGTCCCTTTGGCCCGAGAAACGCTGGATCGCCCGCCGCGCGGGCTCCTCTACGCCCGCGCGTCCCGTACGTCCCGCATCCTCCATGTCCTCTACCTCCTCCACGTCCTTTACGTCCTCCACGTCCCGCGCGTCCCCTGTCTCTCCCGCGCTCGTCTGCCACGTCCCACGTCCTGCGCGTCCCGCACGTCCTCCACGTTCTGCGTCTGGCCTTTATATATATATATATATTAATATACACCTATTTTTACTAATTGCTACACCAGTGCCACAACGAAGACGACTGCTGCTACTAATATGTTTCCACTATTAATACACTATGCTACTACTACTACTACTACCACTACCACTACCACTACTACTACTACTAGTACTACTACTACTACTAGTACTACTAGTACTATTAGTACTACTACTACTACTACTACTACTAGTACTACTACTACTACTACTACTCCTACTACTACTACTCCTACTCCTACTCCTACTCCTACTCCTACTCCTACTCCTACTCCTCCTACTCGTACTCCTACTCCTCCTGCTCCTACTCCTCCTACTCCTACTCCTCCTGCTACTACTACTACTACTCCTACTACTCCTACTACTCCTACTACTCCTACTACTACTACTACTACTACTCCTGCTACTACTACTACCACTACTACTACTACCACTACTACTACTACTACTACTACTACTACTACTACTACTACTACTCTGTAACTACAGCAACTACTGCTACGACCGATGCGTCCCGCACGTCCCCTGTCCTTCCCGCGCTCGTGTTGTCCTCCACGGCCCGCCTGTCCCGCACGTCTAATACTACTACCGTACCACTACAACTACCACTACATATACTCCTTACTACTGTATACTACCGCTACCGCTACCTTTGCAACACGCGCTGAAGACAACACGACTTCAAATTGCGACCGCAACAGTGGCATGGCCCCAGGGAGAAGCACCGCAACACCGAGCCATGTCATGTATTGAACAATGCAGATCCATCCATGCTCCGCGGCCGAACACTACTATTTTGTATATATTCGAGTACTATTACTGCTGTTGGTGACTGGACATTGTATATCGGCCACAGGACGATTCTATAGGTTTCTCATGACCATTTTTAGTCCAACAAGAGCGATATTGTTGCTCGAGAATGCAAAGTTTTTACAGTCTCGGTCAAAAAACATGTTTTGGCACTTGGTGCTTTCCGCAGTGGTATTGCAATCGCATCCACAGGCATTTGGAACAAGACGCTTTCCAGACAGTTCATGAGACCAGGCAAGACACTTATGTTTGTTCCATGTGTACATTGCACCGGATACTGCTGCTCAGCGTGTCCGAAAGGTTTGACGCCGCATGGACCGCCGTCAAAGATGGATTCGACCTTCCCACGATTTTTGGTTGAAGCGGTGCAGTCTTCCTGGAAACTCTGGGGGCCAAACGCTGCTTGCACCCCTTAGCAGCGGTATGTCCATCTTATCAGCTTTGGGGCCTCTGGCAAATGGGGCCTTGGTGCGGATCTGGTCAGACCCTTCGCCACTTTGCATGGCGACCGTCCTCGTCAATGCCCCGCAGAGCTGCAAATCCCAGACAACCTCCATTGTTAGAGAGCTTGGCTTGGCATTGGATAGGGCCAGTCATGCAAAAGAGCGAACGCAGCACGCAGATGATCCTGAGATGTTGCGAAATCCTGCCATGTTGAGACCTTGAAGGCTTTACGCCCGAGGCGATGGATATTTGTTTCCAATAATTTAGCTGTGCCGTTGTACCCATAGTCATAGCATGGGATATAGGTTTCAATCCATGTGCAGCTCCCACCCATATCTGGCAAATTTTCATTTTCTTCACTATAGAATGAGTGGAAGATCATGCTTTAGACTCCGTATCAGTTGCCTCCCACGTGTTTGGAATGTCTTCGGGCGATACTGATAGATAGTTTGAGAAACGTCGCTATATTGGTATCAGTTGCTACTTCGCAGATCCTATCCATGTTGGAGGAACGAATACAACTACAACTAGCTACTTATCCACTCACTGGCCTACCTAGCAAGCTCCACTTACCCAGTGAACTACCTTTCAACATTCCGACCTGCGACGAGATCAGGTCATGGGCCGTTTGGGTGGTGCGGCCAAGCGACGCATGGGGTGGCAGGCGGTGCGGTTTGGTGTGCCGGAAACCGTTTCTCGTGGTGAGATCGCTCATTATGCTTCTTTAAACAAAGTATTCTCTGGGTTTTTGCGGAGATCATCAGGGGGTATATCAGGGTGATTCTTTTGTCCCGCTTCCTACAGGGCATAGATGTATTTTTTCCAGGGTTCCGCCGCAAATCCCAGGTGTGGAGATGTGTCGCATGTGAAATGGTTTGTTCGGTGTCGCTGGTGCTCAGTGACTGAGGTGGCTGAGGGTGGCCGGAAGCGCGACCACGAAAGTTCCCCAGCCCCGGGGCCTTGTCCAACAGAGGTTGAAGAAGCATATAGACTATCCCAGTTGGGTACCCCAGGTGATGAGTCCTATTTACAGTCGCAAAGACCATCTCTTGGGTTGGTGCTTTTCTTTTTGCCCTTTGGACGACTGGCCCTCTGCAATGGACGACTCGGAGGACGCGGGACGGGGAAGCTCCAGTTGTAACTGGCCTCATGACATCCCGGACGTTGATGGCAGGTGGATGGACCTCGGATCTGTCGGTGGTCTTTCAAAGAAGGACCGGTCTCCTTTCGAACGCAACGGATGGAAGTCTATGGATGCCATGAGTCCGAGAGCGAGATCCAAGGCCATAATATATAGACTCTTGAGGACCATAAGCCCCCCGATTTGAAATCGGACTGTCCTCTTCATATGGGGGGGTTTATTAATCAAGAGTCTATATACTACTTTGCAAGTGCAATCTGCAGCTGCACCGTCACTGAAGAAGGCCATGATCTTCAGATATCTTCGTAGCGAGCCTGCGGCGCTCGCAGGAGCCTTTCTTTTCAGCCTGGAAGACAAGTCTGGGTGTTTCCCCTGTCTCAACCACTTGTCATGTAAAGGATCTCAGTCGTTTCCTGGTTGTCGGTTTCCAGGAGGACTTCGCAGACTTGCAGGATGTCAAGCGCGAGCGAAGTCCTACGCTTGTTCCCGACACGTCAGTTCCGCTGGTTGCGCTCTGCCAGTTTTGGCTGCAATCTTAACATCCAGGGCAGGCACACTGACATCAAGGTAGCTTCCAAAAGATCTTGTAGAAAGTGCACCGTTGGAAAATGAGTTGTAATAGCGTGGTAATTACATGAGGATCTGACAAAGCAATTTGAAGTCCCACCCAAAGTGATCCAGCTGCTGATCGTTTCTTTTTTCCCTGGACTGAGGGAACCACAAAATGATCGCTGTGATTATATACACTCCCTGAAATCATCGTGGAAGCGGAACACGACCCCTTGAATGACAATTTTTCCGATGACCAAATTGGTGGTTTTCATGATGTTTGCCACTTCGATTACTTCAAGGAGTGGAACCCTTTTCTTCCCCATTTTCTTCGGGTGGGCTCTTCTAAACTCTCCTTCGTGGCACGAGGACATCCCTGTTTGAAGGTTTCCCAAGGCACTTGATCCTTCCTCCTCTACGCTGCAAGCGTACGAAGCCTCAAATTGGGCAGTACGGAGTGTGCCGAGATTGCAACGAAGGGCATGGGGGTTGACTTTCAGTCCCTATGGACCAACACTGCGCTACCTTCTCAGGTTCGGTATGACTGGGCCCGACCCAGGTGCTTCTACATAAATCATCTCCTTCCGCACCTTCTCAGGTTCGGTATGTGGATCCATAGGGGAGTGAAGCATCACCATTTTGGGGGGACAGATGGACTCTAGTGAACCATCTCATCCTCCAGAACTGGTTGTCAAAACAGATGCTCCATCCTTGGCCCCACCGGTAGTGAGCTGATCTCCAGCTTTTTCTTGGGTGGGTGTAGGACCTTTGGATTGGCTGTTTTCCCACTATCCTGATTGTCCATGATCCCAGGGCCCTTAGTTGGGACTGCTTGCTGCAGGTCTCCCTGGACAACTACGACACGGAGGCGCCGAGGGCGGACTTCCATCAGTGGCGCACTGCGTGGCGTTGTAAAACGACTTGTGATATTGATCATTGCTCTTGGTCTGGACTTCCTGTATATGTCATATTCCACCTGAAAGCTGGGTGAGGGGCCAACTTGAAAGCCCCCGCAAAAAGGATTTAGACGACTTGACACTGTTGCCTTGGAGTATCAAAACATGGGCATGTCAGAACACATCCGCTTTCCTTGGCAGAGAAGACATCCTGAACGTCTTTGGATGTTATTGAAAGTCGTTGGCTCAGCTGGCGACCCCCGTCTTCACGGCTCGCCGCCCTCCCTTCAAGTGACAGAAGGGCAGACGGAAAGCGGGATCCACTGGAGGTCAGATGTGTGGCGTACCAACCTGTAGCAGTTGGTTCGGTTCACCTTCGATGCTCCACCCGAGGTCATGACCTGTCATGACCCCAACTAGCCATTTCTTTCGTCCACTCTGGTCGGGATCCTCCAAAACCGCCCCGTGAACAGGGCCCCCTCATGAAATGTCGAAGCTCTTTAGGCTGGGGGGGTTGAAAGAAGAGTCTCAATGAAATGCTGACTATCAATGAAGAAAGCCTTCCTCCTAGGAGTGACTCCAGTGGCGTTGGTAAACCATTTGGGTTGATTGAAGGTCAACATTGCAGGTGTTTGGAGTGTCCCGCAGCAGTCGTTAACCGCCAGGTCTTTGCGGTAGTCTGCGGAGAGGTAGCGGTGGTTGGCCTTCCGTGTTTTGGAGTTGAGTTAAGGGAGTGAGGGGAGTCTGATGGACCTAGAACCTGAATGATCCTGTTTTGGAGTGAGAACATGCTCTATATTCCTAGGGTTCTAGGGAAGTCATAGAGGGAAAACCATCCCTCACAGCTACAGTCGCCCCACTGCAAGCTGCAAAACAAGCTCAAGACAAGGTACAGTCGCCCCTGAAAAAGACACTTTCTTTTGTGACATGGGCAGACCCGCCAGTTGAGGTGATGTGTTGTTTTCTTCCAGGCGCAAAAAAACCCTGCGCATGACGCATGACGTGGCAGCTTCGGTTCCGACCCGTGCCTTTCGCCACTCGGGAGGGGGGGAGGCGAGGGGGCGAAAGGGCCAAGCCCTCTCTCTACTAGAAAATACATAATACTCATACTGGGTTGCTTCAGGATACGGATACTCCCCAAGAACCATCGTTTTTTGGGTCTCCTTTCCTTCAGAAGACTACTCCCCACTCTTGGTGGATCTTCGATCCGTTTCCTCCGGTTCCTAGCCCAGGCTCTTCGCCGAGTGGCGTGGTGCTGCCTCCGGGTGTGGAGCTCGGAAGAGCTGAGACCAGTCAATCTGGCCGTAGAGGGAGGATCAATAGAGGGGTTAAGTGTACCAGTTCGGCTTTTTTTCGGTTCCAATCCTCTTAGATCTTCCGAACGGTTGCACCATGCGGCAACACGTATCAACCAGATTCCACAAGTATGCCTACTGCCTATTCCAAAAGAATCACGCACAGCATGTCACCAAAAGGCCGACATGAGATGCATCCTTGGGAAGATCGATCGGTCTGGTCTCTGGTCTCTGCTGGGTCCAGTGAGCGGTTCCGCTTCACCGCTTCGGTCGAGCGAGAACGAGTTCGGTTGGACCCTTCCTTTGTAACCCACCCCACCCCCCCGGATTTGGATTGTAACACCTCTTCGAGTTTCTTTTTTGGTGATGTTTTCATCAAAAGTCTACTATAGTATACTATAGACTATAGTTACTTGCCAGTTCTCCCCCCCTCCAGTTGCGACATTGGCAGTGCAGTGCGACACTTGATCAGGGTGGCGGATAGATTTTGGGAACACCCACATGCAAAAGACCCTTCTACTTTCACCTTTCAGTTTTCTTTTTCATATATAGAGGTTCTTTGAACGAGTTTGAAGCATGAAGTAGAGGTGTGGATGGCCGCACGTTTGGATCTCAAGTCAAAGAGGGGCGGTCGATCGGTGCCACATGGGTTCCCCCGTGGTCCCTCTCGCCGGCCATCTGCTTAGCTTGGTGATCGTTCACCTGTCGGCACATCCTTTCAGGGAAGCTGGAGGATTACACTCAGGAAATTGCTGAGCAGGTGGCGGTTGAGGTGGGGCGAGAGTGTGCAGCACGTTGTTCAGTTGAGCGGGAAGAGCCAGTCGGTTGGTCGGTTGACATTGGCTTGACATTGAAAGTGAGTGGTGTTGACCTTTAGCATTCAGCACTGGGGAGGACTACGTGGTGGCAACTCCCGACAGAGACGTTCACTACGAAGAGCTCAGTTTGTTGAATGCTGATTTGAAAGGGATTCGGGTGAAGCCATCACCCCATATCCTCCCCAATGGCATCAACGCTGCAGATGTGTACCCATTGCCAGTGTTTACTGCTGCTGAGTTGGGTGGCCTTCGTGTTGAAGCCCAAAGAGTGCTGCGTGAAGAAAAACTGGCTAGAGGTTTGATCGAAGGCGGCTGTGCTGGACCAGGTGATCAAGGTAGCCAGTGGAAGCCCGGCACATTGTACTGGATTGCAGCTGAGACAGTTGGGGACATCAGATACGGCAACGCCGTGGGTGGAGTGCCTGATGCATTGGTGAGGGATTCTAGAGCTAGACACACTTTGAGTGATGGACAGACAATCTTTGTGCAATGCATCGATGGGGGGACCGCAAGCAGTTTTTGCAACGTCCCTCCAAGCACGACTACCGCATTGTTGCTCAGGACGAAGATGCCCTCGGCAAGCCAGACTGCACTTTGAAAGAGATAGCCAAAAAGTGTCAAGAGGTTGACGTCGGTCGGACTCTCACTGGACCTCGAACCAGCAGGTGGTGCATCAATTACCTTGTTGTTGAGGATCTGGGTTTTGAAGGACATCATGAAAGGTTTCGTGAGGTGCAAGATCGAAGCATCCTCCAGGGGTGTCCAAGAGCACTTTCAATTGTCAATGATTGCATAGCATGCGCTCCAGGTTTGATCAGCTGGATGGATACAACATGATGTTCCTCGGTTGTCTTCCGTCGCCTGCAGACAATTGAGTATGCGTATGCTGAGCGAGCCAGGGAGAATGAGAGCAAAGCAGTCGGGGGTCGTCTTTCGCTGGAGGAACAACAATCCTTTGGTGGGATCACCCGTCAGGCGTCGACTTTGATGGTGGCTCCTGACTTGCTACATCATGTGAAGAGTGAGGTTGAGCGTGATGCGACGCTCTCCAAAAACCTCCGCAAAGCCAGAGAAGATCGTGAATTGGCCTGCAAGCAGCAGCAGACGCAGAAGAACAAGAAGGGTGAAGATGCCCCCTGAACGGGGGCTGAGGCATGATGAGGGAGAGGGCATGCCTCAACAGCCGAACTCTCCCGTGCATGGTCGTGGCCGCAGGGTTCGTGATTTGTTTCCTCTGTCCTTACTGCAGACCACTGGAGCCGTCGAGAAACTTTGTTCCCGCAAGGTGACTAGAAGTGCAGAGGTTGCAAAACATATTGAGGAGGAGACGAACCACACAATTAGGTCGTGAATTCAATGTATGGATGTCCTTGTAAACAAAAGCGGGGGTTGAATTTGGATGAATGTATATTTGGGAACAACATTGCGCAATATGAGTCTCTTGAATACACTCAACGCATGGTTCACCAGATGGGTAAACCACCTGGTGGCATTGATGGTCGGGGGGCGCTTTTGCAGCTCCAGGCCGCCAGTGGATACACGGACAGCCAGACCGTGGGTGAATGGGCATCGTTCACCCTTGGAGGCCTTGTGGGGCAGTGACGGTCGCCGCAAAGTGGACGATTTTGTTTCACAGAAGGCCGGAGATTGCCAAGCAACGACTTTCTGAGTGTGGGGTGGACAAGCCTTACTCTGATCCGCTCCTACAGCACGGAAAGACCTACCATGACTTTCTCAAGCGGCTTCATCAGTCCAAGTTGGTGGACTACTCGCTGCAGCCTGGAAAAGAGCAGATAGCTTTCTTCTTTGTCACTAAGAAGAACAGCAAGTTGAGGATGTCCGTCGGGCCAATGCCCACTTCGCTGATCCAGCTCATGTGCAGCTGAGCACAGGCGAGAGCCTGGGTGCCCTTGAGATTGCTGAGGGGGAGGAGATTACAGTTGCAGTTGGGGATCTGAAAGACGCTTTCTACCACGTGGAGCTGCCTGTCGACCTTTGACCTTATTTCAGCTTGACAAAGGTACAAGCCGGACGAGTTGGCGTGACCTGCATTGAGAGGAAGAGAGTTAAACCTAATGCCTGGATCACACCGCGACTGGCTGTTGTGCCTATGGGCTGGACCAGGGCTCTTTTCTTGTGCCAAGCTATTCATGAGTCTTTTTCTCATATTGCCGCAACCGGATTCGTGACAGAAGGGTGCCGCCCAACATGTCGTGTTGCCACACTCAAATACGTTGACAACATGATCGTTCTGGGTACTGACAAGAAGAAGGTAGCAGACACATGCACGAGCCATAGCTGCTCTAAAGGATGCTGGGCTACAAGTGCATGAGGAGGAGATCTCCGAAGGAGGCAAGATGCTTGGCTGGGAGATCACCCGTGACGGGGGGGATCAGCCTACTCGAGAGAGGGCATGGAAAGTCAGGCTCTTGATTCGAGCCTTACTCCAACGAGGACGAAGCAGCTCACAAGTCCTTGAAAAGTTGATTGGGCATTGCAGCTTTCTTTCTTTGGCTCGGCGGGAGTGTTTCGCTATCTTTGGGGGTTTTTACAAGTTTATTCAAAAGTACAAGCGCCGTTCAAAGGAGGTTGCTTTGTGGAAAGGTGTTAGGCGTGAGCTTGATATTTTTGATGGAGCGATTCCTTTGATTTACCGTGACATGTCAGCCCCTTGGTCTACATGCGTACACGCGGCTGATGCTTCACTGCCGGGAATGGGTGTTACTTCCACACAAGACCGATACCCTATCGAACTGGTTCAACGGTTGGGTCGGGTTCAGGAGAGGTGGCAGTTCCATGACACAGTCGCCAACAACCCTCGACAGCGTGTTTTGCAGGATGACACTTCTTTGGGACAAGGGACCATAGTTTTTGAAGACAATTTGAAACAATGTTAGAGCCCCGGTTGAGACAATTCACCACAATCCAGTTGACAAGAAGTGGAAGACTGTGGGCATGCACAGGTGAAGTCAGTCGGGAACATTGCCTGGTTTTGAAGCAAGATCAACACTCTATGATGTGAAGCACATTGCACGGAGTAAGAGCAGTGTTGGAAAGAGGCACTTGATTTTGAGTGATAGCATGACCGCAACTGGTTCCATTTCAAGGGGGCGCGCGCATGATTATAAGCTCAGGCATGTCTGTTCACAGGTTGGTGCACACTGTTTGGCTGGTGGTTTCTCTATCTCCATTCTTTGGATTCCCTCTGAATGGAACCCTGGTGATAACCTGTCAAGAGGCATTTGGACACCTTCTCTTCCAAAGCGCTTTTTCGACGATGGTTCCCGCTTCGGTGGTGTCAGAACGAAAAGAGCAAGCAGCGCGTGAAGAAATCGCCTCAGAAGACACGGGCCGAGAAGCAGGGAAGACTGGTGGACAGGCGGCTTACCGCCAATGGACTATTGCACTGCGCCCACAAGAAGTTGGCGTCGCATCCAAGACCATCGAATTCGACGAAGCACTGGCGTTGGACCTCCCTTACCACAAGGGGGTGGGAGAAGCACTACATCGGTTTCTGCTCAATCTGCAAGATTCCAAGTACACACTAGTCCTGAGACACACCGCCAGCAACCTGAACCACTTCCTCGAGGCGGCCAGCGAGGCGTTGGAATTAGAGGCAGTGTTCCCAACTGACCAGCTCTGATGTGGTTTGGCCGTATCCAGCCCAAAATCAACGCTCTTTTGTCAGGTCTTCTGAGGTCATATTCGGGCCCGAGATTGATGTCCCAAAGAAGCACAAACCAATTGTTGTCCCTTGAGATGGTTTTCCCCTTGTTGTCCGCATCCACTGAAGATTTCAAGAAACACCTGCATCTTTGGCCCCATAGCTGGGCCAAATTTCAAAAATTTCAATGCAGGAAGAGCAGTGTTTTTGACAGATCCTTTGCGGCCCGGGCGCATTGGGTTTGCTTCAGCTCCGAAAGGCTTCGGAAGATCTGAGCTAACCGCGCCCCGTTTTGGTATCTTCTTACTGATGCCATGGTCTTCCGACGCCCTCGCTGCTGTATGGCTGGCAGGTCCCGAAGCTTGTTTGCAAAGTTGTGAGACGGGCATGGATGGGTCCCTTGCAGCACGTTCTCCAGGGCACGTGACCGACGTCCCGGTCCACCGCCTTTGAGAAGTGACGCTTTGTCATGGGGCTCCCGGATCTTCGACCGGGTGACCGACAGAAAGTGCTGGAGGGTAACCTACTCCTTCGTTTCTCCCTGCGCATTCTGTCACTCGCTTTGACTCTTGGAATCCCGTGGACTTTGGAGAATCCAGCGCAATCTCGTATGTGGCTGACTCCTGGCATGCAGCAACTAAGGCGGAAACGACATGTGTCCTTTGCCACCTTTGAAATGTGTATGTTTGGAATGGGGTCATCTATTGTTGGGGTTTGGGTGTCACTTTCTTCGTTTGAACCATTTCGGTGCATTGGGGCCAAGCGTGGTTGTTGCAAAAGAACTGGACAACCACATGACTCTTTGTTCGGATTACTACCAAACGGAGAATGGAAGACTCATTTGGCTCAAAGTTACCCTCCACGTATGTGCAAGATTCTGGGACGATGCTTTCTCAGTTTTGAAGCTGAACAACGGGCTGAGCAGTTTGCTAAACGGCTTCAATAAGCCAGAGCGCTGATCACAAACAGAACAGCTTTGTTTGGAGAAGCAGCTGGAGTTGGACGGGTGCACCAGAGAGTGCAGGGTGACTCGGGCCCTTTGTGAAGATCACATTGGGCGCTCGCAAGTCTTGAGCCAACACCCTGGCAAGAAACAGCGAAGGCAGTGCGTCATAGAGGTTCTTTGAACGAGTTTGAAGCATGAAGTAGAGGTGTGGATGGCCGCACGTTTGGATCTCAAGTCAACCCGCCCATATCCCCCCTGAATTGAGCTCAGGGGAAGGGTGCACCAGAGAGTGCAGGGTGACTCGGGCCCTTTGTGAAGATCACATTGGGCGCTCGCAAGTCTTGAGCCAACACCCTGGCAAGAAACAGGAGCGAAGGCAGTGCGTCATATATAATTATATATATATATACATTTTGTGTATATTTTTTGAACGGCTGTCTATAAAGAACCATCTATAAATAAATAAATAAACAAATAAATAAAAATATATATATATTGGCCTTCTTGGGATCTTCAAGCAGGGAACTCATGCCATCGGAGGGTGCTGGACCTCCGCGGAACCCAACGATATTTTAGTGCTTCAACACACACCTCGTTCCGCAACACGGACTGTCGGGGCGCTGCGAAACCAAACATCTGCCGAACGAGGATCCCAGGAAGTCATCAGAGCCTCAAAACGACGCAGTGTCCCTGGAGGAGGGTGTTTTGGGAGGGTGCTTCTTCAATTGTTCTGCACGCAGGAACCATGAAGAAACCAGGGCCGCAACAAAAAAACCTCATAAAAGACCGCAACCTTTTTTGTCAGATGAATGCTTGACTTGCATGAGGACCTATAGGACCTATGAGGGCAGGGTACCAAGTGTTTGAGGGCAACTGAGACCCTCCAGAGCTTCTAGATGTTCGAGTTGAAACACCTGGCAAGGGCTCAAAGAACATACCAATACCGTTATGCGTTCTATGGCGGAGTGCTCATTGCAGGGGGGGCTGATTCAAGAACCATCCAACTCCATGGAAGTCTACATTAGCCCTAGCCTTCAAAGACCAAAAGAAAGGTTGACCTGGTGTTGTAGTGTAAACATCCTTAATGAAACAATGGTTCTTTAAATGGGATTAAATTCAAACCACTGCTTGGCCACAAATCCTCAGGTTCGGTGGATCTGCTGCGTCTCCTCTTCTCCCTCCCTGCCACTCGGAGGCTCAGCCATCGTCCCGAACGCTACTTCGTGCTGCCGCGCGAGGCGGGGGGTCTCCGGCTGCGTGAAGGCGCTTGAGGACCATAACACCCCCCATTGAGATGGAAAAGCCTCTTCATATGGGGTGTGAATTGAATCAAGAGTTTTATGGGTGACCTTTGAGTGAGTTGTGATTGAGATTTTGAGAGGCTGTCGTTGACCGGAAAAATAAATGCATACAGCGCGCGAAGAGCAGGTTCAAGTGTCGGCCACGTCGGAAAGAAATGGGCTGCGGTTGCCTAATGGCCTAATGTTCAATCAGGCCCCTTTGCTTTGTACAGCGGCATGGGTTCCTTTGATTCCGCGAAAGAAGATGCTCCGGAAAACTCGTCTGTCTTTGAAGGGATCCTCATGGTGAGATATCCCTCCCGAGTCATCTTCCAGCTTCAGCACACCTGCAAGACACCTACTCTGCACATTCCCCACCAACATCTCTATGCCATGCCCACCCCAACCAAATCCAGGCGAGCACAGCTGCTTTCCAAAGCTGCCTCTACTCATACCCAGACCATCCATGTGTGACATATTTACCTACATTGGGGTGGTGCCAGGGGGTTCAATGGGGCGGCATATCTTCCAGTCCCATGGATGGCGGATATGACGGGTGCGGAGGGCGACTCGCCTGTGGCGACCGATTTCGGCAGGTCCGGCCGTATTTGCGGCCTGACGTCCACATCAACTACGGACGTATGAGGCCGGGGGAGTTGGTCATGCGAAACAGGGCAGGTTCCTGGGTTCCCGACCGGGCACTGGAATTGGTCAAGTTCACAGGACTCAAGGAGGTCAGATGCGGTTTGTTCCGTCAGACTGGACTTTGGAAGGGAGCTGTTTATAGGCCCAAGCAACTCCAATGGACTTCCATCTCACTTTCGGGAGGGGCTACACTTCCTGGAATCCACACGGAAGTGAAGTGGAAAACCACCTGTTTGTATATAGGGGATTTGCCGGTCATCCAAGGGGCCCACGTAACCATGATTCTTCCAGGGGGAGTGCAATGATTTAAGCCACCTCTTCAGGTTTTCACCTCTGAACACCGGCGGCCTCGTGCGGTCGCCGCGCCGTGGTTTCCAGAACGCCATTTCTGCCATCATCCTGATGCCGCCAAGCTGCCAAGCTGATTTCAGGACTCCACATGCCCGACCGGCTCCTCAAAAAGTCAGCTCGCCCTTTTGGAAACTCCGGAAAAGCTGGTTGCGGGCAGAATGAGTGGGCACGGCATCGACCCTCGCCCGGTAGAGGCTTCGACCCTCGACCTGCTTTCTGATGCTTCAGCTCGCTGGCGTCCAGGAGCGAGCGAGAAGGGTGGGCTGTTTTGTGGACGGCAGACCTGAGCTGTTTTGTGGAAAAGGAAGGGCAGACCAGCGAAAGAACTCTTGTCTCTTGTGATATCCGAGATCTTTTTTTGGGAGAGATGAGGATGTGTTGGGATCATGAAATCACATGAGATCACATGAGATAATCCCGAGGACCTCATGAGGCGATGTTCTGCACATCTTTTCTGGTCACCAGCCTCACCAGCCCCGCCGGACGCGGAGGTTCTGACTGGAAAGGTGAAAGGTGGAGAAGCCCGCGAGCGGGCAGCGGTTTTGGGCTGCAGAGGAAAGGACTCCAGAGTCATAGAAGGTGTCATGAAATTCATTGGTCCCGGAAGAAACTCCTGAAGATCCAACACCAAATTTCCCCGACACTCCATGAAGGGTTACCTATACTACATCCTACTACTAGAATTAAGTCATAAACATTCTACATTGAAAACGAACCATCTCCCCAAACTCAACCTGGAAAGATTTTTCCCCAAACAGTTTACTGTTAGGGGTTCTCAATTCTTTCTTAAGATGTGTCCGCCCTTTGTGTCACTGCTGGTGTCGGCCCTTTTCCGCTGGCCATGTAGCATTTCTATTCATTTGTCTCCCAGGTCTGTCACTGCATGGTGGTGTCCGCCCTTTTCCGCTGGCCATGTGGCATTTCTATGCATTTGTCTCCCAGGTCTGTCGCTCCTGGTGTCCGCCCTTTTCCGTTGGCCATGTAGCATTTCTATTCATTTGTCTCCCAGGTCTGTCACTGCAGGTGTCCACCCTTTACCGCTGGCCATGCAGCATTTCTATTCATTTGTCTCCCAGGTCTGTCACTCTGTCACTGGTGGTGTCCGCCCTTTTCCGCTGGCCATGCAGCATTTCTATTCATTTGTCTCCTAGGTCTGTCACTGCTACTGCTGGTGTCCGCCCTTTTCCTTTGACCATGTAGCATTTCTATGCATATGTCTTGCAGGTCTGTCGCTGCTGGTGTCCGCCCTTTTCCCTTGGCCATGCAGCATTTCTATTCATTTGTCTCCCAGGTCTGTCACTGCATGGTGGTG